ACCACTTCATCCCCCACAGCTATCTCCTCCTGTACCACTATCCCCCCCTCCTAGATTGTAAGCTCGAAAGAGCAGGGCCCTCGATCCCCTCATGTTTTGCATTGTATTGGTATTGTTCTGTCACATGTTCTGTCCCCCTTTGTAATGTACAGCGCTGAGCGAACTATTGGCGCTTTATAAATACTGTATAATAATAATAATATGCAAAGTTTTTTGTTTTAATAAAAATTTATTTAACATAAAAATAGAGAAGAATTTTTAATTCATTTAGCATATCATAGGCAACAGATACTATTTATTGGTGATGTCATTGAAGGTTAACATAACATATGGGTACCATCTTGTATGAACCAATCATAGTGTAGCTTACACCAGGTAGATGCCGACAGGCAGTTTTCACGTAAATGCAGTGTTGGTCAGTTATGAGAAGAATGGTACAGAGTACATTTTTGCAATATTCAGACAGATTTCCTACAGATGTAGACAAGTTACAGAGCTATGCAGTTGTTTCTCTAAATTATACAGAATATACACCCAGCCAGAACTTACTTTTGCTTTTGGATAGAGTGGCAATAGATTAGAACCCTTTGTAGTTTTCTTTTATTGCCATCTAGTTCTCCATTAAGGCTTGGTTCACACTGTCGTGACTTGGGATCCGACTTGTGAGACCCCAAGTCGCATGAAATATGAAATCCCATGTTAGTCAATGAGAGCTGTCCTAATTAGCACTACTGAAGTCGCTCCGACTTTACAAAAGGTTCCTGTACTGCTTCAAGGCAACTTCTATCTGACTTGTGCCCATAGACTTTAACCACTTGCCCTCCTGAGGATTTACCCTCCTTCATGACCAGGCCAGTTTTTGCGTTATGGCGCTGCGTTAATTTAACCTGACAATTGCGCGGTCATACAACGCTGCACCCAAATGAAATTTGTGTCCTTTTTTTCCCACAAACTGAGCTTTCTTTTGGTGGTATTTGATCGCCTGTGCGGTTTTTATTTTTTGCACAATTTTGAGAAAAAAAACAATATTTTGGATTTTTTGTTATTAGACATGTCCAGTAAAAATTTTTAAAAATTCATTCGTCATAAATTAGGCCCAAATGTATTCTGCGACATGTCTTTGCTACAAAAAATCCCAATACATGTAAATTAATTGGTTTACGTGAAAATTATAGCATTTACAAATGGTGGTATAGATAATGGGATTTTTTTTTCTTCTACTAGTAATGGCGGTGATCAGTGACTTTTAGTGGGACTGCAGCAGACATTCTGACAGTGGGGAGGACTAACTTGGTGTCATTGACACCCCAGTGACACCAATACAGTGATCAGTGCTAAAAAAAAAGCACCGACACTGTACTAATGGCACTGGGCAAGAAGGGGCTAATGTGAGGGGCGATCAAAGGGTTAACTGTGTGCTGGGAGTGTTTTACTAGGGGGTGGGGGGTGTGTTCTTCACTGTAAGCACACTGATCGGGATGGCTGTACTGTACTGTGCACAGCCATCCCGAGCAGTGTGCTTGAGCTGTCAGTGAGGAAGATTGTTTGTAATCAAAACAATCTTCCTCCCCGTCGGAGATGCTCGGTAATCACCAGGAGCCGGCGGGGTAATTACCTGCTGGAACCCGGTGATTGACATTGCGTGTGCCCCCTACCCGGAAATGTAAAATCACCTATATATACGTGATTCTGCACAAAGGTGCCACCCTGTAGCAGTATTTCTGCTATAGGGCGGTCTTTAAGCGGTTAATGAAAGTCGACTCCAAGTCAGATCCTCATCTATATTGATGTGGTTTGGATCCAACATTACAGGAAGATTACCTAGGCATTCCTTGAAAGTTGCTTCAGAGTTGCTTCAAAGTTGTTCTCAAAATGCCTAGCAAAGTTGCACTGTAAGTCGCGTGACTTTCAGGTCGCAGTAGTGTGAACCAAGACTAAAATGAATTTCCTTCACTTGACTACTGTCACTATGACAGTAAGCGGCCTATTTATTAAATCAATTGCTGTGCGAATGTCTCAGGTATGCACTCAGCTGTCATGAATAATCCTCCTAATGTGCCTAATACATTCATTACCTATGTTCATCAGCTTCATCTAGTGGCCATAACTTAGTATTTTCCTGATTGAGGTATTGCAGAAAAATAGCGCATTATGGCCCCTAGATAGAGCTGACGATCATAAAAAAAAAAATAAATGTATTAGGCAAATTATGAGGATAATTAAAATGCTCAAGACATTTGCACAACAAATCTTTTTTGTGTATGATTTTACACAAAGTGCAAGATTGCTACTGTAAATAAAACAAAGTTAGACAATTAAAAAAAAGAGAAAAAAAAAATGCACACACACATTGTAACTTATTCACAGTTGCTAAAATAAACGTTGTGCTGAGCGAGCGAAACAACAGATTCAACTGAAAGTGAAAACATAATAAACTGCGAGCAGACAGTATTTATTGCAGAAGAGTCATGCAATGTCTTTTTGCCATTAAACAAATATAACTTCCCATTAGCAATTTTCTTTGGAACGCACTGAGCTCCGCAGGTGTAGTTCAGTGTTCTTTCCCAGCACATCTTGGTGCCAGCATGAACAAACTCCTGCACGTATGTGCGGTGGTCATGTCAATCCCGACGAGCCAATCAAGACGGTCAAAGACCCGGCATTCAGAAGAAGCCAGCAAGGTTTTGTCGGCTGGGGTGGGGAGTGAATTTATTTGCAGATTTTAGTTCCTGCATTATTTGGTTGCTTTCCAAGCTGCACATACTCATCCACCCTTTGCATCTCCCGCTATTCAGTGACTGGATGCAAAGAGGAATACTGGTATTTCCAGGTATGGGGAGCAAATGTTTCACTCCTCTTCTTTCCATGTGACAACTGTTGTGCTTGGTGATTGGCTGCTCAGGCATCCCGCGCTGTCACATGGGGGCGGGAAGAAATCCCTCAGCTCTGCATGGTCAAAGCATAGGTTCGATCTGAAATATCATAAGAAAATATGAAGTCTGCCACTGCTGACCACTCCTTATGAAAATGCTAATTGCCGGGTTGTCATGCTAACCTCTTGCTTCACTTCATTTAGTCACTGAGCTGGAAAAAGTATGTGGATAAAGTCTGTTAAAGCTGAACTCCAGGTATGATCTTCATGGAAAAGTACATTGATCCAACTTGGCACAACGTATACATATAATACCTGAAGGACCATTGGGGAATCTGACAATTACTGTAGTATACAATGCCACTGCAGTGATCTTCAAGATCTTTCAGGTTCTGTGCCGTGCGGCTTCCCCTCTGCACACTGACCGCAATGGGCTGCTCATTTGGCACCTCCACCATTCACATACCACATTGTATTTTTGCAATGAATACAAGGTGTTCTCTGATTGGATGAAGTGTAGATCATTAAGGACAGTGGAAAAATAGTGCTGAACTGTAAGGTTATCTTATTGATATTGCTATCTTAACCCCTTGACACAAATATGCGGCCTCTCTGTGTCTGGGTCTAGAAAATACATATGTGCTGAAAGCGCACGCCCTGCATGCTCCCAGCACATATTATTATTATTATACAGTATTTATAAAGCGCCGATAGTTCACTCAGCGCTGTACATTACAAAGGGGGACAGAACATGTGACAGAACAATACCAATACAATGCAAAACATGAGGGGATCGAGGGCCCTGCTCTTTCGAGCTTACATATGTCCGTGACTCAAGGAAAGGTCACGATCTCCCCTTGCGATCGGGACCTTTTCCGATCATGTGACAGCGAATCACGGCGGCCACATGACCATAAAACCCCGCCCCGCCTCCTGGCTTCTGAAACCCTTAAAGGATTGGGAGGTGCCAGCGCTAAGAGGTTAAGGTACTGATGTTGATGTAGGTGATCTGGTTTCCAGAGGGTCTCCTCCTGGCTGGTAAGTTAACAAAAATGAAAATGGACACCACTACTAAAAGTTCAACATAAGACTTTATTCCAGTAAAGGTTAGGAGGGCAATCAGAAGAGTAGACAATGCACATCTGGGGTCCAAATCACCACAGAGATAATGGAGCCAGGAAACCAGGCAAGGCAAATAGCATTTTTGCAATGACAGAAATGGCTGTTTCCATATTTCTCATATGATAGATTTTCTTTAAAAGAACAGAGAGGAAAGGACACTACAGAATTCTGCCAGCGTTTATATATATATATTGCTGAAGGGGTCTGCTTTGTAACGCAGCACTAGAGTACACTGAATGAATGCTTCAATAAGAAAACAAAAAGGTAAATGGCCTCACAGAGGAGCATTCCTTACTATTGTTCTGCCATGTGCCGCATTTACATGCCAAACCTGGAAAAACAACAATTCATCTTATATTTTCTAAAAATATGTTAGAAAGGTCAATATTATTTTATCAACATAAAATTATATTTTTTACTACTGCTAAAACAATAAAATTCCAAAATACCATAAGCGATAGATAAATATCGACAAAGACTTTTTTTTTTAGTATTAAGGCTCATTCACACGGGCGTCTAAAACACTGCATTTAAATGTGTCCAGAGATTTTGGATGCATGTAAATCTATGGGGCCATACACACACAGCTGCATCTACAAACAAAAATGTGCTCTGCATGTAGCAGCATAGAGAACATAGTAAGACACAGCTGCATCTGGAGCCGTTCATATCTGCATGTATAAATGTAAATTGACGCCTACAAGCATAAAGTCACTAGAATAAGTGTAGGAGTCTAAATGTGAGCACTTTGGGTGCATATTTTTCTAGTACCTCTGCCAGCAAGAAGCTGCGTTCTGTGCAGAAAATATGCATATACCTGTGTGAATAAGCCTTGAAGGCAGTGAAGAACCAGTTGTCAGAATTAAAGTGTACCTGTCTCTGCTCACAGTGAAGCAGTTTTGTGGCTTCCCCACAATCAACCTAGCAAGGTATAAGGAACAAAGTGATGTCACTAGTCCATAAGGGCACCAGCTGTGCTATAGAGCAGTGTTTCTCAACCTTTTCTCAGTCAAGGCACCATTTAAATTGATGGACAGTCCCGAGGCACCCTTTAAAATTATGGACAGTCCCGAGGCACCCTATAAAATTATGGACAGTCCCGAGGCACCCTTTAAAATTATGGACAGTCCAGAGGCACCCTATAAAATTATGGACAGTCCAGAGGCACCCTTTCAAATTGTGAACAGTCCCGAGGCACCCTTTAAAATTATGGACAGTCCCGAGGCACCCTATAAAATTATGGACAGTCCCGAGGCACCCTTTCAAATTGTGAACAGTCCCGAGGCACCCTTTCAAATTGTGGACAGGCCCGAGGCACCCTTCATAATTATAAAGGGTGCCTCGGGACTGTCCATAATTATAAAGGGTGCACTTTTTTTTTGTGGCTTCCCCACAATCAACCTAGCAAGGTATAAGGAACAAAATGATGTCACTAGTCCATAAGGGCACCAGCTGTGCTATAGAGCAGTGTTTCTCAACCTTTTCTCAGTCAAGGCACCATTTAAATTGATGGACTGTCCCGAGGCACCCTTTATAATTATGGACAGTCCCGAGGCACCCTATAAAATTATGGACAGTCCCGAGGCACCCTTTATAATTATGGACAGTCCCGAGGCACCCTATAAAATTATGGACAGTCCAGAGGCACCCTATAAAATTATGGACAGTCCCGAGGCACCCTTTAAAATTATGGACAGTCCCGAGGCACCCTTTAAAATTATGGACAGTCTTGCAGTCTTGAGGCAACCCATTCTAAAATGTGAAGAACTATTCTAATAGTTTTATATAAAGCAGCAACATCCACACATGTAGGACACCCAGAATTAGAGGTGATTTATTCTTCCAAAGCAAATATACGTTTGCACACTGGTACTGAATAGTATTCCAGTGTTTCTTTTCTCCATGTTTTTATCCATCAATGAGCTAATGTGACCCCAGCACTGATGGAGAGGGGCATGGAGGGTCAAACTAGGATGCTGTGCAGGCAGCTGACATTCTCCTTATCAACTGATGTCATTGGTTGTCAGGACGCTGGCGGCCAGAAGGTCATAATGGTGTACAATAAAAACCTGTGGCTTTGTGTACCTAAAAGGCAAGCTTGTTCCAACCGCAGGCTTGTATACAAGTTTTGGGCAATTTTTAGATGTTTTAATAAGGCACCCCTGAAAAAACCTCAAGGCACCCTGGTTGAGAAAGGCTGCTATAGATACATAAATAAGGCATAGCACAGTAAAGCTGGCCATATACTGTTTTCCTACAACCAGCAGGCTGAATGAAAAAAAACGAAGATTCCTGCATCCACACAAATGAGGGGGATGGAGGAATCAACTCCCTGCTGGAAAATTGTGAGAATACAGTGATCAGCAGCTGCAGCCATTGATTGATGGAAAGTTTCCCAACACGTCCCTTCGACAGGCGAGGATTAAACATTTGGCTTCTGCCTAGCAGGGAAGCCCTACACACCAATGGAAATTCGGCCAATCCTTGCTGGACCTGCTCAAAACAATCAACCTTTATCTTATCACTGATCTGACTTCAGTAAACTAAAATCTAATTGTTCTTTCTGGGTGACTGCACCATACACACCGTCAATGCACTTTGCAGTGCATGATTATATAGGATGAAAGTGTTTACTGGATGTCCAAAAATGAAGATTTATAGCATTGCTTAGCAAAGTCTTTGTTCACCTGAGAGTTCAATTATTTTCCTTCTTGACAAAGAGTGGTTTTGTTCATGTTTAAAGCTTAAAAATCTAAAATTAGAGAATACAGCTGTGCAAACCATCACAGTGATATGTTCCTTCATGTTTCTACGTCACGGACTAAAATATTTAGATCTTGCAGCAACTAGTTTTCTTGTCTGGAATACTGAGCTTAGTCACTGCTTCTGTGTCTTCTTCCACAGGATTCACCGTTTTCTTCACTTCTCTGTACGGCAAAAGAAAGCACACATACATGACAATATGGTTTACGAAGCAGAAGCTACAAGTACCAAAAAGTATCTTATTATACACCTGCACTGACCGCATGATAACGCTTTCAATGACTCCCAGTTTCTGTATTTAGGATAATGAAGAAAACTAGTTGTCAGCAAATCAAGGAAATGCAAGTCTAAGGCCTCATGCACACAGGACATTTAAAAAAAGAAAAAACTCTCCTAGAACCCTTCCTCCTGGCAGCAGCGGTTTTACAGAAAAAACACCTGACGCTTGTAAGAGTATCCAACGTGTTTACAAGCATCAAGCTCTTGGGCAATAATTAATTTCATTGGCCAGAATAATAATTTATTATGGCCACTGAAATTAATCACTTGCCCTCCAGAGGATTTACCCTCCCTTCCTGACCAGGCTATTTTTTGCAATACAGCGCTGCATTATTTTAACTGACAATTGCGCGGTTATGCAATGCTGTCGATAAATAAAATTTATATCCTTTTTTCCCAACAAATAGAGCTTTCTTTTGGTGGTATTTGATCATCTCAGCTGTTTTTATTTTTTGCGCTATAAACAAAAAAAGACCAATAATTTTGAAAAAAAAAAAAAAATACTTTTTCCTATAAAACATATCCAATAAAAAATTTAAAAAAATTAATTTCTTCATAAATTTCGGCCAAAATATGTTCTGCTCCATGTCTTTGCTAAAAAAAAAAATCCCAGTATGTGTAAATTGATTGGTTTACGTGAAAGTTATAGCATCTACAAATGCCGGTATATATTGTATACAGGAAGATTTTTTTTTATACTAGTGATGGTGGTGATTAGCGACTTATAGTGGGACTGCGGTGGGCATTCTGACACTGGGTGGGCACTAACTGCCACGGACATCCCCAGTGGCACTAACACAGTGACCAGTGCTAATAAAAAGCACTGACACTGTACTAATGACACTGGGCAGGAAGGGGTTAACATCTGGGGTGATCAAAGGGCTAACTGTGTGCTGTTTGTGTTTTATTATGGAGACATGTCCTTGCTGACAGGAGAGAGATCTGTGTTGTTTACACACAGGTCTCTCCCCTGTCAGCTTTCCCCAACAATCACTGAGTGCCAGCTGGGAATCAGCAGTCGGGATCCGGTGATTGACATCCCTAGCCACCAATAGTGGCGCGGTTAGGGTGGCGTGCGTGCCCCCTACCAGGAAATGCAAATCACGTATATATACACGTGATTTTGCGCAGCCCTGCCACCCTGTAGCAGTGCTTCTGCTACAGGATGGCGGGCAAATGGTTAATTAACACTCAAGCACTAAACGTGCCTAGCATTAGTATGCGTTTAGACATGTCAAGCATTTTTTTGCCAAAACGCTGCTGTCCCTGGACGCACTGGCCCTGGGGTTTTTAACTGCTGGTAAACACTACTGCTACTAAAAGATTCTAGAAGTCCCTGTGTGCATGGACACATAGGACAACATGGAGAGCCATTTGAAAGCTGTAAAAAAAAAAATCCTGACGCCCCTAAAAGTGACTGCAAAAATGCCCTGTGTGCATGAGGCCTAATATATGCATTTTAAAACTGAACTTTAGGAATAAGCCAAAATGTAGCCTTGCAGTAGGCCACCACCCCACCCCCTGCACTACAAGGGTTATATGCTCATTAGGTCCAGATCATGAGTCTCCAATTGCCCACGGACCAAATGCAGCTTGCTACAGGTTCCCCCCCCAGTGTACTGTGATCAGCCCTTTAGCTGGATAATAGGACAGCCAGCATCCTAGCAACCTATGATTTACTTGCCCCAGCACAGTCAGTTTCCACCCACTGAGCTTTCTCCAATTAACTTGGTTACTAGGACTCCTGGCATCCTAGCAACCAATGATATGCTTTCTCCAACAGAAGGATGGAACCTCCTTCGTCCACACCTGCTCCTCCTCCTGTCCGGCTGCTTTACTGACTACAGCCATATTGTAAACACTGTAAGGGCTGACAACTGATAGGGAATCTGACGTAAAGGGGGACTTTGATGGGGACCTTGATGTAAAAGGGACTATGATGGTATCCCTCATGTAAGGGAGGACTCTGATAGGAAACCTGATGTTAGCAAGGGGCTGATGGAGACCTTGATGTTAGAAGGGCTCTTATGGGGGAACTTGAAGTAAGGGGGGGGCTCTGATGGGACCCTGATATAATGGGATACTCTGATGCAAAGGGTGATTTTTTTTTTTTTTTTTTTTACTAAACGTTTTCTTTTGTTCTGAATAATATCATGCTGATTGCAAACAGACATCAAATAAAACATATTCATTCATATATTATTCATTGATTTATAAAACTGATTTTTTTTTTGGCCCACGAATATTTGTAAAATAGTCAACATTGCCCTTTCCTACTGAAAAGTCTGAAGACCCCTGCTCTACATAATAGGAATTTATGGAAACACCAAAATGTGAGTCCTTAATTGTTACCCAATATACAAAGTGAATCTTTCATTCTGGCTGGAGACTGTTCTGGTTCCATTTTGTGTGGGCTCCATGGCCAATCATTACTTTGTAGATATTGCAAGCATGTCTAACCAGCCTTTACATAATAATCCAGTGTAGTTGGTGTACCTGGCCAGATGTAGAACAGCTTCCACTACATTGGTTCCATCCCTTGCACTCGTCTCACAGAAGAGGGAGCCATAGGCCTAGAAATAAAAGCAGCACATTTACAGCCATGCAGACAGGTTTGCCCACATGCCATTCAATGATCAGGCTGTGTATTATCCACTTACCATCGCTAGCTTCTCTCCCATTGACGTATGAATTACTCCCGGTTCATTACTTTCTGACCGCAGGTCAGTCTTATTGCCAATTAGCATCAGGGGGATCGACCTGTCACAGGATGTCTTAGATAGAAAAATTAATTTTGTGATAAAAAAATGTAATTAGGTACTCTGATATAGTGTGTAAATGACATTACTATTATTATATATATTATTATACAGGATTTATATAGCGCCAATAGTTTGCTCAGCGCTTTACAATATAAAGGGAGACAATACAGTTCAACACAAGAGGGATGGGAGGTCCCTGCTCCTTGGAGCTTACTACAGATTTGTCTCGTCTTGGAAGAGCGTTGTTTTTATTATTATACAGGATTTATATGGAGCCAACAGTTTATGCAGCACTTCACAAAATAAGGGCAGTCAGTAGAGTTACAATACAATTCAATACAGGAGGAATCAGAGGGCTCTGCTCGATAGGCCTGGTTCACACCAATGCAGTTTGCATTTTGTCCTTTGTCTTTTTGTGCTTCTTGCGGTGCATTTTTGCACATGCGGTTGACGCATTTTCAATTTTTTTTATGCTTTTCTTTTTTTGGGACCAACTTGTTGCTGAGCAGAACAACAACATACTACATGTGTTTTCTGCAGTGTCTCTATTGAAGTCTATCGAACCAAAAACACAACCTTTTGCATTTAAAAAAGTCCCTGTCCCTTTCCAAAAACGCAGCAGCTCAAAAACGAATACATGTGAACATGTGCCATAGAAAATCATGTTAAATGAACTGTAGTGCTTTTTTGCAAAAAGCACAAAAAAATTGCATTGGTGTGAACCAGACTTTAGAGCTTACAAATTATTATTATTATTATTATACAGTATTTATAAAGCGCCAATAGTTAACTCAGCGCTGTACATTACAAAGGGGGACAGAACATGTGACAGAACAATACCAATACAATGCAAAACATGAGGGGATCGAGGGCCCTGCTCTT